AGCGCTTGGGGCAGCTGCATGGAAGCTACAGCTTTAGTGAGCTGGCAGCAAATGGGTTCTTAAAATATCTCAGGTTTTCAGGTGGTATTTTGGTTACGGTCACTTTCTAGAAAATGGGGCTTCACCATGAATGGTTACGTAGTAGACAACTAGTTGTTCCCGGTGGACATATTTTGGAGGCCCCTGGTCTTTTGATCTGAAAGGCACGCTTCACCAGCCAGAGCCTCTTCCGGTGGACACCAAATTAGCTGAATTAGATCGAATTAGGAGTTTCTTGATTGATGCGGCCATCGACATCGACAATTGTGTGCAAAAATGGGAGGATCAGGGTCTGGAGAAGGCCTGTAGTTCAGGACCCAACCAGAGATGACCGGAAGGTCCGAAACAAACGGCGGCTGCAGTGGTTTTCATGATCTTCGCTCCCTGAGAATTCTCCATCGAACCAACTTCCGCAACGGCTCTGCCGGTGCGTCGTGGGGGGGGCCAGCTCGGTGGAGGGTCGGCCCGGCGGAGGCGGCGTCCAGGCAGTCCAGGAGTCTTTCCCCCCCCTCCAAAACAGGTGCTTTTCGCGGTTGGCCCAAAGGAAACGAGGGGGGAGCAGCTGCAGTCCGGGTGGCCGCTTGTGGCCAGGTTGGCAGATGGACGAAGAGCTGGAGTCCGTGAAGCTGGAGCTGAGCGAAGATGGACGCTACCAATGTCGGACGCCCAAGCTTGACGCCCACGTCGACTCGTCCCTGGTCCGGTCCGAAACGAAAGATCGGTGCCGTGCTGGCGTTGTTCCAACACGTTCTAGAGTTTCTTCATAATCTTTGTGTGTTTCTAACCTTTCATCCTTTCTTGGGGATTCCTTTACCCACTAAATAAACATGAACAGCGTTGTCTTCATTTTACAGGGAGACTGAGGGAGTCAGCAGTTAGGGGCCACCCCTTGGGAGATTCTGTCAAGGGTTTGCTTCTCACAACTATTCACAACTTCATAAGGCTGGAAATCAAATTCAACTATAAAGCTGATTCTTTTGACTTCCAGTAAAAACTAAGACCTCAACAGTATGAAGTGTCCTGTCATTTCTGAAATGCAAAGCTCCACATGTCTGTCATGCCATTGATGACCTGATGTCTGGGCTGAAATGGTTGTCATGACTCGTCTCAAGTCACTGCTCGAACCCCATGTGCGAGACTCCATCTGCTTGGTGCTCGAACCGACTGCCCGTCGCAGTCGTCCCGCCGTCGTCTTGACGACGACGTCGGGCAGGAAAACCATGAGGTACTGACGGTTACCGATTGCTTGAAAGAACAACTGCGGATGAGATGTTTCTTCAAGCCATAAGTGGTTTGGGAAAACACATTGGCCACCTGGAAAGAAAAGCATTTTGGAGTATGGACTTCTGGTTGGCGATTGATTGAATTGACCTTCTTTTTTTTAAAGATGAACCTATTTGGCCACTGGGGTAATCACAGTTGCCCCATATTGTTGGGAAGGGTTTAAAATGCCATCCAGACTCTGTTTGCAGCTTTTCAGATTCAGGACCCTTCATTTTTGTATACATGTTTGCAGAGTCCCTTGGGACTCTCCTCCTCCTTTGGGCTCACCATGGCTTAGTCCCTTACACCGGGTCACAGACGCCAGCCGCGGTGGTTCACTTCGCCAGCCGCACGGCCAAACCACCGAACCACCGAATCGACCCACTGGAATCGACCGACTTCGACCTCCCGACACCCTCCGCACCCGCACCCCCACACCCGCACCCGAGCGTGTTCATGGACGGTTCGCGTGTTGAAGCTTCCGCCGCGGCGAGCTTCAGAGCGAGGTGAAATCATCTCCCAACTGGGCGAAGGCATGGTGGATCGTGAGACTTCCACTGGCACCTGGGAGGCGACGGCATGGTTTCGCCGCGCTCACACGGGGCGACGCACGGGGAGTCAGGGCTGGCTCTGACTGGGAAGAGAAGCGCCAGCGCTGTTCGATCAGTCTGGGCGATCAGAGAGACAGGATCGCACAGTCGATCATCTCTCGATGTCACACTTGTTCCCCGAGCCTCTTTCCACCTCGGTGTGATGCGGACTTCTAGAATCGGAGGAACTTTTTTTTTTTTTCACGGATCATCGGTCGACTTTTGATTTTGCATCTCAGCTCCAGGGGAGGGCGCAAAAAACATCAAGCGGCAAGCGTCTCGCTGGAACTTTCAAAACATGGAACACGGCACCCATTGGCACCATCTCTTTCCTCAGAAAAGGGTCATCCTGTTTGTAGGGCCATCCACGTAGCCATCGGTCCATTCCAAAGGATCCACCTCATCGGTCCATCTACATGAAGTCTATTGAAGTCTGCTACTCTTCAGGTCTCAGACTGATCGTCCGTATCGAGCTGGTCAGGTCTCGGCTGTGGAGCATGAGGTCCTTCTCTACAAGGAGGCCGTCGTCCCCAAACTCCTGGGGCCCAAGGGTGTTCAACCAGGCAACCAGAAGGGATACGTCTTGGGGAATCTGAGGTGAGAAGTACTAGTAGAAGTTGTTATGGTTGATCCACGGCGAATCTGGGACGAGACGTCGTTGATTTGATGGTTTTTTTCCCCAACACCATTATATAAGGCTTACAAAGGAATTTAGACTACCCAGACGCTCCAAACAGCCCTTGCTCCCTCAAAACCTAGGCATTTGTGACCCCAGACCCCTCCAATGGAGAGTCCGACCCCTCCATAGGTTCGGGTCCATGAGTGTCTGGGTACAACACCAGGTCAAACTGTCTTTGAATCTCCATATCTCCATCCGTCTCCACCCGTCCTCCACCGGTTCGCAGGGGATGACCCGCATGGTGCAGCGGTTGGGGGTGAACGACTTTGGAGATTTGGACCTCCACAAGGAAGGCCCGTTGCCTCTTGGCTGGTGGAGTTCTTGGCCAGACGAGCCAAGGCCGTGGGTTCCATGCTGAGGGTTCCTGGCTGAGGATTCCATCATGAGGAACACTCGTTGAGGCATTTGTACCCTATCATGACCTCTCATTGCCTGTCACTTTTGTGTTTGCTTTGACCAGGATCTTGATGATATGTGGGCTGAAGAGAGAAGATTTGCATTGTTTCCCTGGACAGACAGCGGCACTTTCTTGCGTGGGCTTATGTCTAAGGATACCCAGAAAGCAGCAGTGAAACATATATACATAAGCAAACATGAGGTGAAACATGTTCCCTTTGGAAGATGGTTTTTGTTTACCAAGCGGTTTTCTCTTGGAGGGAGGGTGGGAATAAATATCTCAGAATTCAAAGATTGATCGGCTTCAACATTTTTCAATGTATTGATTCCAGAGTTGTTTGATGCACCTTCCAGCATGTTCTGGTCCACCCCAAAAGGATGTACGTGAATCCAAGCTCTAGATCCTTGGATCCCAAGAGGAACAAGGAGTGACCTGTTAGATGTTGGTGATAAAGGGATCCTATAGAAGTCATCCAATCCTTTGGCCTGGCATTCAGCCATCTCACTTGTTGAACGACGAAGCTTGGGATCGCATTGGGACCTGAAAAGGGAATGCCCTTGAGCTTAGCCAACACCCTAGGGCTCCTGGCGGCTCCTGGCCTCCCCCAACCATTTGAGGATGTGCGACCAGAGCGGGGGACATGTTCGACCGTTGGGTGGCCTCAGGTCAAGGCAGTCTTGGCTCCTCCGACGGGATGGCTATCTCGACTGAACGGTGGAGCCGAGACGGGTTTTAGTCGGAAAGCAGCTGCTTGTTACAGTTGGATGTCCAAGATTGCTCTCAAGCCTGTATGAAATATGGTTCCACATTGACCATGCACTGCAGTGTTTGCCTCGTATGCAGGTGATGGGAGGTTGGGAGAGGGAAAGGGATATATATATATATATGTGATTGCCTTTGTGACCATTCCCCAGAAGGCCCCTATGATATTTATATATATATATATATTTCAGAGACTGTGAGCGAGCATGAATCTGCTTTGGAAGTGGCTCGGTGGCTCGCCCACTTGGAGCAGAATCGCATCATCCCGGAATGAAGTGCTGCACGAATTACCATTGACGGTTTCGAAATCCTGCACGACTTTGACCCAGAACTCTTCGAGACCTGTATATTGGATCCTGTCCCAGACACTCCATGTATGGCATATTTACCTACATTGGGGTGGTTTGAGGGGTCAATGTAGGCATATATGACAGACATGGAGCGTCTGTGTTATGTCATACACCTCACTGCGACAAACAATGTACCGCCATCCCAACTCCTTTGGTCACGACAACCACTGTGGCTTTGATGCTTCCCGTTGAATTGGATGAGCTGAGAGCCCCGACCTCGGGGTTTGAGACTCTGCTGAAAGCAAGAGTCCTGCCTGGTGTCGATCTCGAAGGCCATGGGGGGCACACCACCGATCCATCAGCCGAACAAGCCCTTAAACGCCTTACTTACATTTTGGTCTCCGCTGATACATCTAATGAGGGATCTGCTCAACGTTTTTCAGCGTCCTTTTTCGGACGCGCCACATTTCATCGGTTTTTGGGCCACGTGGATCGATACAAAGAAACCGGGATTTTCGGACCCGTTGGAGCCCAGCTCAGCGATGACAGACCAAAGGTCAGCTCGGTCACTTGCCACTGAAGGCTCGGTCAGAAAAGGAATTCTTTCGGATGCGGCCAGGTTTGCTTGGTTTAGGACCTCCAAGGGGTCCAGGGTCCAGGACCCAACAAATTGCTTTGTGAATTCTTGTAACATGCGGTTGCCTTGTTCCGAGATGATGCCGATCAACATCTGACTCATCAATGAATGCTGACAGATGCTGACTCCAACCGAAGAACAGCCCAAAATTCAATCCATCGAACAGTCAAAGCAGACACCAGAAGGGTACGTAGGAGAAGAAGAAGAAGAAGAAGAAGAAAAACAACAAATAACAATAATCTTTTCACTCGGAGTTGCTCGTGAGACGCAACAATTGATTGATAAGAACACCACCTCGGATTTGTTGGTCGCCTGAGCTCCCGAGCATTTCTCTTGGTCGGAGGCTTGGATCTCTCTGCGGCTTTGCGGAGCTTGCAAGTGGATCGACCCTTGGTCATGTGAATGACTTGGACATGGGATGGTCATGCCTATCCCAAGGCTTCATGTTTTTTCCCAAGGTGTCAATGTAGATGTAGGTAAATTTTCCAGTCCCGTAAGCCAGGTATGGGGTCATGTGCCTATGGAGACCTTGGTTTGACCCACCGAAACCTGGTCAGAGAAGGCCACGAGTTACACTACCATGGTCAGTTCACGCCGCGGCGAGGTGGGGAGACCGGGCTCCAGGTGCCATGATCACACAGCGATGGGGGAGACCTGGCAGGCCATAGGGGAGACCTGGCAGGCCATGACCTTCTGGTGTGTTTTGGTGGAGAAAAAGGGTCCTTCCGGTGTCATGGCGCTCACCGAGCTGAGCCAGACTCGGACCACACACGCGCCAGAGCACGCGCCAGACACGGTCGTCAAAAGGAAACCGGGTGGCCGGCCGCTGAAAAAGCCATCCGGCACCTGGGGACCATGCAACATGAAGCATGGCCTTTGGGAAGACCATTTTTCCTCTAGTGACCATCTTCAAGCGAGGAGGATTGGCATCCACCGTAACATGTCCACCACATGGCACATCCCCCAAGTAGGTGAAGCATGTGGAGAGTGGTGATGGCGCAGAGAAATCGGATGACCATGAAATCCGAATACCAAACAGCTGGGTGCCAAGCCACTTCCAGGATGATTTCGGACATGTGTTTTCGGGATGATTGGGAATGTAGACTGTTGCTTACCCACTTGCAGATTAACATGGACCCCCCAAGCCACTGCATTGTAGGGGAAAGTGGCCTTCCACAGGGTCATTTCCAGGATCCATGTCAGTCTGCAGGGAGGTCATGACCCCACGAACCAGAATGGTTTTTTGCATCAGCCAGTCAATGTCAGTCACGTGTTCCAGCCAGAGTCACTCTTCAGATCGCTGAACTCTGGAGCCCATGGAGTCTGTTCCCAGTCCAGGTAGCTCCCACAATGGCTCGAACCTCCAGGTCCATACGTACGAAACGATTCCGAAGGGGGAGGGGTCGGAGGGCCTGGGGCCCTCCGGGACGACCTCGGTCGAAGTCTTTCAGCTGAGGAGAAGTGGGACCCGTGAGCCAGGCTGGGGTGGGTTCTGCATGGGCCATGCTGAGTGCCATGGTGACAAGATTCCTTTGAAGCTGATGTTCAGTGACCCAAACAGGAGTTCATGGACTGTCCTTTATTTCACTTGTGTTGCCCGCCGGAACCCGACCAGGAGCTCTTTAAGCCGGGTGCTTTGGCGGGAAAGAAGCGCCTTGAGGACGGTCCCCGTCTCTCTCGGACGGCAGGGAAGCATGACTCCCAAGCAGGACTGGTTCAACCAGCAAAACTGGGGCGAAGCTCTTTAAATGCAGGTCCACCTCCCCCCAAACCAGGAGACCGATCTTTCGCCCCGCTCGACCGGTCTTCGCCTACCTGGTGGTCGGTCGTCGAATTCGCTAGATGGTGGACGGGTCGGGCTCCAGGTGTTGAGCTATCCCCATATGCCATAGATTCTTCCGCTAGTAGTAACAAGTGCCTTACTAGTAGTAACAAAAAGCTATTAGAATAAAGTTAAAATTAACATATGCCATAGATTCTTCCGTGCGCGCGGTTTCTCGCGGATCAGGACTTCTTGAAGCATCGTTTGAAGAGCTTCGCGTCGCTACGCAATGATCCCACCCAACAGGCGCTCCCGAGCCTTGTCAAGAGTCAAGAGGTCCGCCTGGCGAGGTCCTGCGAGAGTTCTGCATTCAGTGGTCCTGGTCTCGAGTCAGTCCGGAAAGGGGACCTTTTTTTACACTCACACACGGGAAAAGGAGTGCACCCGTCGGTGCTAAGTGGAGATGTCTGAGATGCATTAGCCCTGTATGTTACGGCATTAGACCCTGACTGTGCCATCAGTGTTGAATTGCCGAAAAACAACGGATGAGACAGTGTACGCTCTACTTGGAGTTCTTGTTCGAGGCTCAGCTATTAATTGCTATTCATCTACACAAGGCTAGCCAAAGCCCTGCCCACCAATGCTCACAGCTTCGTTTGATGCGGTTAGAGCCCAGAGCATGCCCCCGCTTCTGTACAATGCCAAATGGGAACTGAACTTAACGTCCAGCAGTCACAAAGGGGTGCCTATTGGAGGATAGGGGTGGCCATTATCCACTCACTTAGGGACAAAAAAACACCCCTTTGTGACTCCTGGGTGAAGGAATTTGGTTCGAGGTAGGAGTTGCAGTTAGTTGCTCTTAGGAGTGGACACACAGAGTATCACAGAGAGTTCTTTTCCAGGCGGGGATATGCCGGTGTGATATGGGGACGAACGGCGAGGAGACCCTTTTGTGGATATTTCTTATACTCGACGGGACGAGTTTGTACTTAAGTTGGTTTGACATCAGATCCCTCGTACCAGATGACAGGCAGAAATGACTTTGAAGATCTTGTAAAAAAGAGCCAGATGGGGATCCGACAGGCGTTGTCTGGCCTGTCACCCTGGATCAAGTCGGGCACCCCAAGCGAAGATTGACAAGGACGCGCCACTCCGGAGCATTGGGTTTTCAGCCAAGAGGGGTGTCCTTCTCCTTTCCTCGGTTTTTGGGTAGTTAGCAACTGGCAACTGCTGAGATGAACATATATGAAAGATATGGATAGATATGGTATTTTCCGGGTGAACGGACCAATCATCACATTCATATCTTGGTCTAACTGTTCACCCACACTCTTCCTCTCACATCACCCACCACAATAAAGTAATAAGATGGTGATGTGCGAGAATGAAAAGACACATGATGGTTCATGAAATTGGATTCTTTACTGTAGTCAATCTTTTTCCTTTGGTGTAGATAGCAAAATCAAATGAACCATAACATCCGTTTTGACTTCTGTTTCTCTTATGATCAAAATGGTCCATGAATTAATCCTGACATAAACCCAATGCATATTGGCAGACCATGCATCATAAATATACATATGTAATACACACATATAACATCATATAAATATATATACATATGTAATAAATATATATATAGCTATATATATCGCAATATATATATTTATAATATGATGTTCATTAATAACTTGATGATGGATGAAGGAAATCAAGGGAGACAGCGGTTCACCTACAGGGCTCATCTTTTCTGAGCAGAGCAGGCTGCTTTTGCGGCGACTCGTCGAGTTACGTATCATCCGTGTGACCGGGGGTGTGCAGGGCTGGGGGTAGGGCCCAGGTTCGTGTGGGTTGGTTGAAAGTTGAAACAAGATCAATTAAGGGAATCAGGAGGTTCTGAGTGTGGGGAGGAGGAGGAGAATGATCATGAAGATGAAGGAGATTCAAGGAGAGAATGGCCGACAGGTGCATTGTGGATTCAATCACGGCTTGCTTTCCATCCTTCAGACAGTTCAGCCGCCCTGTGGTGGATCAGGTGATTCCCTTATATAGACATTCTCACACCATGGTGGATGCCTCCCTCAGAGGTCTCCAAAACTGCGCCACTTTCCCTCTCAGGTTTGGTCAGATCTCTGCACAGCGATGCGCGCTGACGGTGAAGAAGGTGCACCTCTCAGTCTCACGGGCGATGGAGGTCGCGATGAGCGGATTCGGCACGGCGAGTCGATGGGGGACAAACAGCGGTTCCATGAGGATCTCTTCCGGGGCATACGTATGGCTGCGAGGGAATTGGGGTGAAGCTGGCAGAAACAAATGCTGGGAAGTACTCCTTCTGGAGACGATTGTTATGGAAAGTGAGAATTCAGTCATGGAAGACCATTTTCCTATACAACCCAATGGTTTCGGGGTTCCATGTTAATCTGCAAACAAGTACCCATGTGCTGAAACATTAGAACCATTGGTGAAACATGCTGGCTCCAGTGATGTTCAGCTGGCTCCAGTGGCGGAAGCTCGGATTCGGCGGCCTCCTCACTTTCACTCCCATGCATGCATGGAGAAATCAGGTATATACTTGCCATCATAGAAGCACGAGAAGCACTGGAGTCCTGCGGGATGCGTGAAATTTCTGAGAGTCAATTTTTGCAGAGGTGTGATCAACATAACATTGTCCCAAGCAACCAAGAAGTGTTTCAGCTCTCAAAGCAACCTGGACTTCTGCCACACAGTTTTCCCCAGATCCATGCAGCAATGCAGAACGATGGTTTTGCACCCACCTTTCTGAAAAGAAGGGCACAACGCCTGTTTCTAGTCCCTTGATCTTCAGGCTTTCCCTTTCACCCGACCGTCGCGTGAGAACATCAAACATTCATTCCCTGACCCTTGTGAACATAAAAAGAAACTACACATGAAGAGCGGAAGAGCGTGGTGCTGCGACATGCCGAGGATAGCTATGGGCCGGTCCCACAAAACCCTGAACTAGGTCTCTTCATCTCGTGTCTATAAGCTTCTTCAACCTCTGTTGGTGCTTGTGGGGAGCCCACCAGGCCAAAGCTCCGAAGAGCTCCGTTGAAGCCTTCTTGGACGAGGCCAGCCCTGGCTTCGGGCTGGGGTGACGAGCATTTTTCCAGACGCCGAAGCAACGAATCACCACGGAAAGGTCAATATTAGGATTAAGTCAATAAGTTTGATATGTTGTGATGATGTCTAATGATGTCTATATTCTATATTATATGCCTATAGAACCTGAATGACCCCTGTTTGGGACTACTGTACCGACCACCCCAAAATACAAAAGGAATATTTGAACGACCGGACGAAAATCAGTGTTTCAGAATGGCGGATCCGGTCCGTCATGGGGAAGCTGGAATGGAAGGAATGGAAGTGTATTCCAGGTTTTATGGAATGAATAAAATATGTATGGAATCATAAGACTGAATCATAGTGAATGGACCAAGAAGAAGCTGGGAAGAATTTGGGACTCACTGAACATTCACGGGACGCCACATCAGGCCATCGTGCGACGAGAGCTCTCCGACAACTTCTGCTGGTACAACGAGCACTACGACTCCTTAAAGGCAGGGTATGCAATGGGCTTGGAACGGGGGCAATGGGCTTACGCGTTCGCGCCCAAAGATGGTGAAGCTGAAGGACAAGGTCGGGCATGGGGCTCCGGGGGCTCTGCAAACCGGACTCTTTGGTTGAAGGGCACAAGGGCGGTGGTTGGGTGAAAATTGATCATGGGACTCTATCGAGCCAGTACGATGTACCTGTCCAGATCTGTCTAGCTTGTCGTTGATCCTTCAGCAGGGGCAAGAGGCCTCATGAACTGAGTTGTCTTGCCCCAGTGACAGTGACAGTAGCTCAGTATAGAAGTTTATCGTTGTTTCAAAGCAATCAATTACAGCGCTGATTTGCTAAGCTGTGTTTTCACGAGTTTTCTTCCGACCATCCACATGCTTCAAGTGTTTCTACTCAGGTTTTTCGAGCAGACATGAGCTGCTTCTGGCCAATGCTGGCAGTGCCAATCACCACCCTTTCCCATAGATGTTCGCCACCCTGGGAGTTCAAGACCGAACTACTGGATGTTTCCATGGCTCAGTCTATGTCTGACGTGACCGGTGACCCCCCTTTTCTTCCACCTTAGGTGGCTCGGTCCGACCCGGCCCCGGGGGCCGCTGCTTCTCACGGCGGACCGTGACCACTCTCAGGGCGCGGCCGCCTGGGCTGTTCCCCGGTGGAGTTGGATGGGGTCGAGGACAGCGGTGAACGAAGGACCTGGATCTGAAGTATCTCATGCAAAAATACCATGAGGTTCCTCAGTCACTCGGTTTCTTGAAGCAAGTTCCAGGGAATCCTCAGGTTGGGAAAACCAGGCATGAAGCAACATGAACACACCCATATTTGCTGCTGCGCGCATGGTGTGAACAGGCCACTGTTTTGACAGGTTTTTATCGGTCGGATGGGCCGCGGATCGGGCTGCGGGGTCCAATTTTCCGTGGTCCAGGCCATCCGTAACTTGACTCATGAACTAATTACCCACTACCATGGGAAAACTGAGTCATTGGATTGTCATTGGGGTTTCCAGGGTGGCAGAGGTGCTTCTTCTCTTTTGCTCTCCGCTTCTTCGAACGATGCACGGAGGGATGAGTCGGGATGACAAGTTGCCTCGAATATGAGATGGGAAGTCGTAGTTTACCTACCAGGACCTCAGGACCATCCGATGGGTGTCCAATGGACCCTACACTACTATCCGGGATCTCCAGACAGGACACCCTTTGGATTGGATGGTCTAGGTAGTAAAGTTAAGGTCTTGAGTAGAACAATCTCAACTTTGCTAGGGACTGAAGATGCCAGCGACAGCGGTATCTGAGCCGGCTCGGACGGCGGCACCCCAAAAGCTTTGGAACTGTCTTTAGTTGGCCAATCAACCCAAAGCCAACCCGAAAACGGCCGACGGTGGCGTCTGTAGAAGTGCTTGATCGACCGAGGGCTTGGGGTATTTGGACCGATGGGCATGTTCGAGGGCCAGGAGAAGCCCACAGTAATTACACTCCCTAGAAGTAACATGGAAGTGGAAAACCACCTGTTTGTAGTGGAAAATGGTCTTCCAAGGGGTCATTCTCCACTTCCATGCTAGTTCCAGGGAGTGTATCCCTCAGTCCAATCGAATATTCCGGATGGGGCTACCTCCTGGAATAGAAGCTACTTGGGGGTGATTGGAAGACATTGGAAGGCGCCGTTTTGGCCTCGCTGCGGCTCCAAGATCACGAGGTCGAGACACTGAACAAGCATCGCAAGGCGCGGAAAAGGGGCTGCGCCCTGCCGTGGCGTGGTTGGGGTCGAAAAGTCGTCGCCAAAGGACAGAGGTTGAACAAGCCCCCTCCAAAAGAGCCCATTCCATAACTACCACAGGCTAGGGTCCTAGTTCAGGTCTCTCAACCTCTCAGAAGGGTTGGAAGGTTGGTGACTCGGTGGGCGATTCCGCCGAGCCCCTCGGCCGAAGTGGAGAAGTTGAGAAGGAGACGCCGATCACAGCACCAGTGATCGTTGTCCTTTTCAGCGGCCCAAGCCCTTCGGCGAAGAGTGAAGTACTCATAGTTGCTAGATCCACTTGTTGCACATGAATCAGCTCTGACTAGAGAACCATCGATATCGATGCACATCATCTAACGGATCTAACGGATGTGTATCGGATATAGAAACATCCATGTCCAACCACTTCAGCTCGGAGCTTCATCGCTTGGGTCCTGTGGGTCGAACCGACCGGGTCGAACCGTCTGGGGCACCATGAGGACCAGCGCGAGTACCTCTACAGCCGTCGACAGCTTGAAGAGGCTGGGTATGAAGAAACACAGGTGAGAACTCACTAACACCATCAAGCTTGGGTGCTTGATGGTTGAAGTGGAACACTGAAATTGGAGGTTACGAGGTGTGACAAAGGCCCACCCAACCCTTTCCGTTGAACTCCGATATGTTATGAGGGCCGCAGTTAAAAGAACACATGTTGATTCGACTTCTACTTCGATCCGAAGCTTTTTTTACCCAGTCAATATGTTGTGTACATGTTGCTCTCGACTTCAACAACCATCATGATCCATCATACGGTACATTGGGTCACATTGGGTCATCATGGTCTTCGTGGCAGTTCTTCTATTCGACCAGTGCCGTGGCCCTACATGCCACAAGAGGGGCATGTGGCGTCCGGGCGTCAGCTTGGCCCTGCAAGGAGCAAGTCTTGTCCTCTGCAAGCCAGTGTCAATGGTTTTTTTCGAGCGGGTTCGAGCTGAGTAGCCCGATTGTCCAAGATGATTAAGTGGAAACGCCAGGCTGCGATGGACAGATGATGAACCGGTATATATATATATATATGTCTCTTCTTTTTCAGGATGTTCCACATCAACCCCCATACTTCGAATCACATCTACAGAACTAGTGAGTCCCTCATTTTCAGAGCTTCCATGGTCCATGGTCGGCTGGGGACTCCAACGACATCTTCCAGATTATGAGTCAACATGATTCAGTTTTTTGTCGGAGGTTCCACGAAGACGAATCACATGTTTAACGTGATAGTTCTTGGCAAAGCTCTTCTTTAGAAGCTCGGAGCAGTTGTCATTTTGCCCCAGAATCATTCTACGCTACAGAGGGATGGTCATCCAACATTTCTTCCCGGTTCTCTGATGCTCTTCGAGGCTAAGACGCATGACGAGCTGTGGAATGCGTGCGGGGACCAAACAAGTCGCCCTGACACAATGGACTCCTGAACCCAATACGGACACTGCCAGATAGAATGTCAGAAGATAAGCCAGATTGCCAGAATGAATGTCAGAATAGATGCCAGATAGAATGCCATTAAGAATTTCAATCAATATGCCAGATAAAACGTCAGAAGATATGTCAGATAGAATGCCAGTAAGAATGTCAGAAGATATGCCAGACAGAAGGTCAGAACGAATGTGAGAGCAGGTGCCAGCAAGAATATCAGAAGATATGCCCGCTAGAATGCCAGTAAGATTGTCAGACGATATGGCAGATTTACATGTTGCACTCGCGTGTGGCATGTGGCGTGCTCCTTATACACATCCTCAGGCCGTCTACCATCTAATCTGCGGTCCGGCCGAGGGCTCAACGGCAGATGGTTCTGGAAGGCATGACCGGGAGACGGCGCGTGAGAGGATGCACGAGAGGAGGCGAAGTTGTCCGTGAAGTCAAATACAGATGGACAGATGGCAGAAGATTACATTTTGTTTATTGATTATTGATGGTGTAGCTGGAGTGTTCCAACATGTTCCAACATCAGTAGGTTAAGGCCTTTTGTTTCTGGGAAACACCCGTGTTTTCTCTCAGCAGTGGATCAAAACGAAGGGCACCTCGACAGATTCACAGGGCCAATCCTTGGTCGCACCCGGTCCAAGACCGAGGCCCAAAGGTGGTTTGGTGGTTCAGCCCGACTCCTGAGGCAGTGAACTCCTCTTGAGGCAGTGACCTTTATCCAAGACAAACCTGCTCAACTGGACGACAAGGGTCCCTGATGTTGGAAGGACTTCCTGCCTCGACCACGAATCGACGCTTGGAATTGGACAAGAACCCAAGGTAGAAAGTGCCAACCCCAAGTTCCGCTTCCGGGCGATGGTATGGAATCCGTCAGCTCCACCCTGTTGAAAAGCAGGGCATGTTTAGTCCACCGTCCTAAATTGAACGAAGAAGGCCAGATGGAAGGTAGCACCACCGAAGGTTGTAAAACTATCAATCATCAGAAGCCGAACCGTGCACAAGCTCACAAGCCGCCACTTAGAACATTACCGTTTCCAAATTCCTTTAGGGATCTCCTACGTGGACTCCGTTTCATGCAGGCTAGATGAAGGTTCAACATCGTTTGGGAAGACGCCCCTGGCATCCCACCCTCCACTCCACTCCCGATGGGACGAAGGGACAGCCCGTGTGGTGCGTGGAGGCAAGATGCACGGTTTCCTTCGGATGTACTGGGCCAAGAAGGCGGAGTCTGAAGCTGAAGACGGGCTTGAAGGGCCGAAGGACGAAGGAAGGAGGACCTTCTTTGGGCACGCCACGGAAGCCTTCTTGTTTGGGGCCACGAACGCTGAAGACGAAGGGAATGGGTCTAATTTGGTGGGTTGGTCGGGGTTTTCATGGACCCTGTGACTGGTTGCGGCTATTGATGCCGCGTGGTGGCGGGGATTTGGGCCGGTGTTTTTTCAGGATGGGGATGGGAAGAGCCGGACAATGGCATTGGCCGCCTTTTTTTCGAGGTTCAGGATGATTGGCAGTCGATGTCGTAAACCAATCCGAGCATTCTCGGAGCTCCTGAGCAGTTCGAAGTAAATGCTGGACCCGTCCATTCAGCGCCCCTTGCGGGGCTGAAACATCACCACACCTTGGGATCTAAAGAGATCTCAGAGATCTTGTCTTGTCATGGTGGTTTTGCACATACCTGGACCCGACTTCACAGGTGCTTCCTGGTGACAAAAGGTGCCCCAAAACCACCTGTGGTGGGCTCTCCAAACAGCCTGGCCAGGAGGGTCCTGGTATAGGATCATCATAAAACAGTCTTGCTTCGTTGCGTTGGCACCGGTGTTGTTCGTGAGGGCGACCGCCCTCAGGTCCTCGAGTGGAGCAAAGATGGAGCATCTGCCCTGGCCACGGCCATCTATTTGAATGACCGCTATAACTTGGACGGGCTGGGATGCCCAGAACATGGCGCAACCAAGGCAGCCTGGTCTGGGCGAAAGTCAAGCTTTTTGGGCTCCCTGAGTGCATATAGGATTTGCTGCTGTGTTTGCAGGTGGGTATGGATTTCCCTCGCAGAGCATTTGCCGAAAAAGAACAATAGGCGACAGCTCGCTTTTCAACGAGCTATCTGCGGTTTCATGGGCTTTTCAAGACCAACTGGATGTGAACCTTGGGCTTGGTGCCAAAAGTGCGTGCACCAGAAATCCACAAGCTTCAAGCCCAGTTGATCTGTGTTTCAGGAGAGGTCCATAGTATAGTCCTGAAAGATCGTCTTCGCCACAGGGATTCTTGCTGCTGACAAGGAGAAAGAGACCCTCAACAAAGCGGCTTAGCCGCGGCTTTCTGAGCCGTGAAATGGGGTATAGGACGCTTGGGATCACGACGGAAGTTCGTGACCGGCGATGCCCCCCCACGCAACGCCGGGAAGCTGGCGCTCGGCCAAGCGAAGCTGCCGCCGAGCGAGCTCGGGGTTCGACCGGACCGACACCGTCGAGTGAGTGGACACCAGCTGGACTGGTCAAAAGGCTTCGATCCAGGAGTCACAAAGGAGGGCCTGGGTGCTTTGGTTCGTCCCCATCCGTTCGGTGCACCGACGTCTGCTCCTTCGGCACCGCGAGCGAGCTCGGTGACGGACACATGACCAGCGAAGCTCAGCGAAGCTCCGGCGATTTTTCTCCACGTTTTGGAGCCGATACATCGCGCATTCAATAACCTAGGCAAGTGCAAACTGGACATGATTTTTTTTCTTGCATTCATTTCTTCTTTGTGCAAGGAAAACCTTCCCTTCTGAGAAGGTTATCCTTGCTTTACCGAAGGTACAGCGAAACATACATTGACCTTTTTTATACGGTATATGGTTGGCATGTTATCTATTTTGCCGAAAGCCGATAGACATGCAACATTGTGCAAGGGCAGTGCCATACGATTGCAATATAGATGACCTTTTGCCAATACCTGTGACTGCCCACCAGAACTTGAAGACTTGTTTTGGTTTCCCAGATCTAAATGAGCATGAAGGTGGTACCTTTCTTACATTTTTTCCCATGAACTCCCAGACAACCCAATTGCAGCCTCTGTTGATCAGCGCGCAAGATCGCACCTCCATGATCTTCCCATGATCCCTCAAATTCACCACGGACATCCATTCTCACACCGAGGCGCGATCCCAATGGCTACGTCGGTTGCATGTGGTCCATTTGTGGCGTGTGGGGGGGGCGCCAGTCCAGTCCGAAGAGAGGACGAGACGAGCGACCCGAGGAGAGAGGAGTCCAAGCTGTCACCTAACAATGCTGCCATCCGCATGAACCTTGCACATCCAGCCAACAACTGTTGGACACATCATTTAGTGCAACTATTACCTTGAACATCCACGGATACATATATATATATTCTTATATAATATATACTAGATATATTATATTACATATCTATTATATATATATATATCCCTGCAGGTCGATGGTCTCGTAAAACTAGATCATTAGAAAACAGATTTAATGAATTCTATTTACTTTCCAATGACTTCTAGGTACTTGTTGTCATTCTGATCGTTATGGTCTTTTGCATGGCTCCAGGAGGTCATTCCATGTGGATTTAGTACTGGATTGGCATCAATACCACGAGCCATTAATGTAGTGGTCAAAGACTCGATGGACAGGCATCATAAACGAATGAAAAGCCTTTAGATTTTCATGACTGGATGGCCCAGTGGGAGCCATGAAGCGGTCATTGGCTCTTCGAAGGGCTTCTGTGAAGAGCATTCGAGGAGAAGGTGAGACGGCATGTTTACCCATGGAGGGCTTGGGTGTGCCGGGTGCACTGCTTGATCACCTGCCCAGCTGCAAGTTGTGGGCTCAAAGTGGGTGGGCTTGGGTGGGCACCATGCCCGATTCCAAACACAGGGAGAAGATCCTGGAGGTCTTGAAGGCTGGAATTTGCTGAAGCATAGTCTTCAGTATCCAAAGACATGCATGAATCAGCACGTGAGACCATCAACCATATGAGATCATCAACCGGTCAGGTGTTCTACAGAGATCGCTTGGAGGATGATGGGAGGGCGGTGAGGTTTGAGGAGCTGGCGAAGCTCGAGCAAATCCCAGACCCTTCAACTTATCACCCTTGAGGACTTTTGATGAGAGGGGAGCTATTACAAATTAGTGGAGCCACTGTGCACCCATAGGTCCAAATTCCAATGACCTGCTAGTATATGTACAGGTCTTGGGAGCCTGTGAACTCAGGAGAAGAGATACCTCAACCTGATTTTGAAGGGCAAAGTGTATTGGATCTAGAACCTTTTTTCCAGCAGGTGCCCCTGTGATCTCATGGATCTTTGCCTGAACTTATTAGATCTATTTTTTCAAGACCATCGTTTTGACCTGGAGGGTATATAATTCCCCGCAGTTCTTACTTCTCAATGGATGGGTTTCGGATTGCGGAAATCGGGCGCCGCTGCCGCCTTGTTTTTTCAAGCTTGTCTCCCTTCATGATTGCGCTTTTGGCTGCCGCTGCCGGCATGTCTCCCAAGCTTGTCTCCCTTCATGACTGCGCTCTTGGCTGCCGCTGCCGTCTTGTTTCTCCAGCTTGTCTCCCTTCATGACTTCGCTTTTGGCTGCCGCTGCCGGCTTGTCTCCCAAGCTTGTCTCCCTTCATGATTTCGCTCTTGGCTGCCGCTGCCGTCTTGTTTCTCAAGCTTGTCTCCCTTCATGACTTCGCTCTTGGCTGCCGCTGCCGCCTGGTCTCCCAAGCTTGTCTCCCTTCATGATTTTGCTCTTGGCTGCCGCTGCCGGCTTGTCTCCCAAGCTTGTCTCCCTTCATGATTTCGCTTTTGGCTGCCGCTGTCGCCTTGTCTCCAAGCTTGTCTCCCTTCATGATTTCGCATGATTTCGCTTTGGCTGCCGCTGCCGCCTTGTCTCCCCAAGCTTGTCTCGCTTCATAACTTCGCTCTTGGCTGCCGCTGCCGCCTTGTTGCCCAAGCCTTCATGATTTCGCTCTTGGCTGCCGCTGCCGGTGTGTCTGCCAAGCTTGTCTCCCTTCATGATTTCGCTCTTGGCTGCCGCTGCCAGCTTGTCTCCCAAGCTAGTCTCCCTTCTTGATTTCGCTCTTGGCTGCCGCTGCCGCCTTGTTTCCCAAGCTTGTCTCCCTTCATGATTTCGCTTTTGGCTGCCGCTGCCGCCTTGTCTCTCAAGCTTGTCTCCCTTCATGATTTCGCTCTTGGCTGCCGCTGCCGTTTTGTTTCTCAAGCTTGTCTCCCTTCATAACTTCGCTCTTGGCTGCGCTGCCGGCTCGTCTCCCAAGCTTGTCTCCCTTCATGATTTCGCTCTTGGCTGCCGCTGCCGCCGTGTTTCCCAAGCTTGTCTCTGTCTCTGTTCCTGATTTCGCTCTTGGCTGCCGCTGCCGCCTTGTTATAAGATAATTTGGCTCTTGTTTACCTTTTCCATCCTTTTCCCGGCTTTGAGTGGGATGTCTCCCAAGCTTGTCTCCCGCTCTTGCCATGGTGTCCAACTTTTCTTGAAGTGCTATCTGGGGTCTATGCCGGTATAATCTAGTTTTATGAGACCACTAGACCTGGAGGGTGGCCAGCTATACTCATCTTCTAAGAAACCGAACAAACCAAGCACGACTCCATTCCGGTCCATTCCATCCGTCTTCGGCTCCCTTCCGACGGCCCGTCATGTCACGTGTCCGATGTGAGTTCAATCAGAGACGACTTGAATTTACACGAGGCCCCCTACAAGTCAAAGACCTCATGTCACTGAAGTTGGACTGGTGTAAACTCAAGTCGTCTCTGATCACTTCACACACCGGGGTGAACCCGAAAACTCACTCGTACCTGGGAGACTCCCAGGTCAGTCACCCTTGTGTAAAAATGTGCTCAATGATGATGATCGAACAAGCTCTTGGCACAAATCATTTGAGACATGCTCTCCAAAAGTTGTTGTCTATTCCCTATACGGCTCCAACTACCTCCTGAGGTTCACGTGGTTGGGGTGGAGCGTTTGGGATGACAGCGCCCCTTGATCAATCCCTGCTGCCTGAGACTCCAGTTCTATTTTAATCGGCATTGAACGGGTACCTCTTTGTCGAGTCAGGCCCCCAAGCTACCGGGGCAGATTTTCTGCCCCCTCCTGGCATGCGTTGCAGTGTGCTCGAGGTTTCTGAGCTGGAGAGTGGTTCTTGTGGGGTTGGCTTGGGGTGAATGGTTTTTTGGGGTGCGCTGGTGAGAACATCTTGAAAAAACCTCTCTGCCTACTGGCACAAATCACTGCCAGGGTGTTCCTGTGGGGTCCGTTCATAGATCCATGGTGAGTTCTTGTGGGGTCCGTTCATACGATCCATGAGGCGCCCTGTGAGTTCTCCTTTGTGAATGTGGAGAGGAAGCTCAGCGGACGTGACCTTCCTGTTCGTCCGGGACTGGCTCTGTGTGTTCGGGCAGAACAAGGTCACGTCCAAGGAGGCCCAGGCTAGGCCAGATGGGGAGGATTTTTCTTCTTACGATCATTGTCCCACAATGTCCCATGCAACTAGTACTGGATCGTACCAGAATTAGGCGTGCAGATTCGACCCGGTCAATCGAATTAAGTCCTTGGACATCACCCATATTTTGGTGCTTTGGTCATCCTGCGCCGTTTTCATGAATGATTATTTTTAAATATGCGGAGCCGCCCATCGCCTGCAATATACGGACAGAATAGGAATTGTACACTACCTCCGGGAGGATCAACCCTGGGCCGCCCTCCACATTTTTTTTAATGGCGTAACGGTAGCTGGAACTTGCTCCTGGAACCTGCTCCTGGAACCTGCTCTGGAACCTGCTTTGGAACCTGCTCTGGAACTGCTATGGAAACTGCTCTGGAACCTGCTCTGGAACCTGCTCTCGAACCTGCCCTAGAACCTGCTGTGGAACCTGCTGGAATCAGTGGCACTAAACCTCCTTCGGAGCCTTCTCTCGATACATGCTGCAGAACCACCAGAGGTTGGGCAGACGCATGGTTCACCTTTAGAGCCGGTAGACGTATAGGCTAACGAAGCCTTGGTGCCAGTGGCTTCAAACTTTCAGCCAGTTCTCAGCTATGTTTTTTGGACACATAGTTTGCTGCTATTTACAGTACATTCATGCCGTTCAAAATGTTCGAAGTGCATTTCGACTGCGCAGGGTCGCACCAAAGATTTGGGTTGCAGTGCAGGTACGTCCAATAGACATCTCTCACTGTAAACACACATACTGCACACGTGCACAAGTACACAGAACCCGAACAATCACGAAAAAAATCGTTCCGACCTTAGGTCACAGCCCCTTCAAGCAGCAAGTTTTTTACTCACACACAGCGGGCAAGCAATGCATCATTGCATAATGATTGAGTGCAGAGACACTCATCGTTCGAACGTGAGTGTGGGCCACAACTTTCCTCAACTCGGTTGCCCTTCCAAAACTGGTTTGCGTTCAACCACCTTTAAAAGACAGTAAATCCAAATGCCGGCTGGTCACTTCATCCTGCCGATTAGGTCTTCATCTAGGTATAGTGAGTAGTGTCTGGCATTTCCAAAGATAGGGACCCAGTCGAGGCACCTTTGTTGACGGGGAGTGGACGTGGAACATGATTTTGTTTGAACAGTTTAATTAAACTGCCCCAGTGATTGAAAGCCAGGGAACAAATGCTCCATCGTGTGTTGCTTCGGGAGAAGCTGCCACGTGAGCTTCTGGGACTCCAGGCTTTCATGCGCAAGGTCTCGGTATACATCTAGAGTCTCGTTACATGAGAACACCCCAAAAACAGCATTGACCCTAACAGCCCTAATAATTTGGGCCTAGCGTCTATTGTAAGACCTTCGGAAAACGAGGTAGGCATCGTGGATGGACTGGACAGCTGAAGGAGGAAGTTTCCGCCTGGGACTTGCGTCAGGAGAATGTGTTCTTTGTACGAATGGTTTTAGGGGCGGTTCTACACGGTTTTAACTTTCAGCTGAAGGGCCCATGGTCTGCAAGCACAGTGTATATGCTGGTCAATGCCAGCACGTTGGCACGGTGCCTTCAACTGCGTTTCAAAAATTGAGGAAGTGTTCAAGTGGTTTTCCGGAAGAACCCTTCGCAATGCTTTCGGAAAAAATTGAGGAAGGAACCCATTGTGATTTGAAGGGGAAGTTCGTGCTTTCTCCAGCGCACGCTCAGCGAGCCAATAGATGAATATCCGTGACGCCCCACCCTTGA